ATAGATAGATAGATAGATAGATAGACAGACAGACAGACAGACAGACAGACAGACAGATAGATAGATAGATAGATTGCTCAGCTGACAAATTTTCGCTTGGTTCTCTTTCTGCAGCCGCTGATGATACGATTGCGTTGACGATCTCGACTCAGACAGGCGGCAGACGGAGAAACTCAAAGGCCCGTGCGGCTGGCGAGTGCTCTGAACGGTCCTCTCCTCAGACTAAATTTCTCTGATTGTGCTCTTAAAGCGAATCTCGTCTAATTGAGAAAGGTATCTTTGTTTAGCGCAACCTCAGAGCCTCACATGTTTAATCAATCTTTCACTCCTCTTTATTCCGCTGCCTCTCCACCTTTTGAAAATCAACTCCCTGATGGTTGAGAGGAAACTGTTGAACTTCAAACAAACCTTATGAATAATCTCCCCGAGACGCTATTCAAATGAGAGTTCTCTGATTGTGCCGAGCGAGCGAGCAAGCGCGTGCGTGTGTGTGTGGGCATGTTGGGATACGATGATGCCGAACGCAGCGCTAGATAAGATATGACTCACTTGACTCTAATGACAGCAAACCTTGCATTTTACTGACTTCAGTGACTCCCTTAAGAACTTCTGAACTTGTGTTCATTTATTTATTTCTTCTGTTTGTGCTTTACGCCGTTTCTCTGGAGAAAAGGACACTTTTTAGGCAGAAGCATGTGCACGCCTGTGTAAATACTTGAGTAGCTTATTCTGTGCATTCGGTATCGTTTCTGCACTGTGATGTAAATGGCAATGCATTTAGCAATTTTATAATATTCTTATCTAACAAAAGTGTTTCCTGAAATTCAGTGATGGTGAAAGAAACACTAACTTCACATTTTTCTATTGCATCGTCTTCGCTTGCTGCACTCAAAAAGCATGCATCACAACCAGCATAGTCTGACTGACAAATCTTATAAGGCTGTTCTTTTATTGAATCACTCAAATCGAATCTCAAGCTCAGAGTTACCAGTTTGAATCAGTCTGATGAAACGTTCAAGTCAAGTCACCTTTATTTATTTAGTGCTTTATGCAATACAGATTTTGTAACAGAATGTTCACATTATTAACTTACTGAATTCATAAATGACTCACTGAAGGCTTTACTTTTAGCTGTGTCCCTCTAAAAATCTGTGTATCATTCGATCATTCATTTTTTGATTTAATATTGAAAGTAGAAAAATGAGAAAACGGCTCCTTTTTCGTTTTTTCGTTTTTGTCCAAAACACGAAAAATGAGAATTCAGCTTAAATTTTCGTTTTTTGTTCAGGGGTAGAAAAATGAATAAACAGCTTGAATATTCGATTTCTACACATGGGCGGGAATTAAACGCCCCTTTCTGCTGATTGGTCAGCCGAAGATCAAACTGTGCCATCATCAGTTCTTCCGCAGTATCACGCAGCAGAATAATAGTCCTCCACTGCTGCAGTTGTATGCAACTACATTTAGTCTTTTTTCATCAAACAAACAGGCTAATGAATTGCTCGACACAACTCATACCTGGGCAGAGTCTAGACAGGGCTTTCTTCTGTGTAGATATAAATTCTATTCTTTGCATCAGCTGGGCATGGCAAGGTGTGATATGACAGCTGTCATAGCCTATCCTGCTCACCCAGTAAGTCTGTTTGTTTAAGTAATTAATTAATTAATTCGTTTCAAAATAAATATTTTAAACACTAAGACAAAAAGGAAAGAATAATAAATTGGCTTGGGTATATATAGGCCTAAGTTCACGCAAGAACTGTCATTCTGACTGACAACCGGAGAACAACAGATATTATAGCCTACTGTTAGAGTTATATAATGTAGTCTTGAGTCTTTGAGTTTATTCAAATTGATTATAATTGATATCTCAAAAGTATATGCACTTGTGCGCGGCGTGAGCTGCTGTGCACTCGCACTGCAATGCAAGATTTTAATAAAATATAATAACTTGCCATTTCGGTTTGTTTCTCACCAAACCCTCAGTATACCTTCAGAATGCTTGGAATATACGCCACGAGATGCAT